CTAATGTTACTGGCCTTGGCCACGGAAGGACCACTACTGACCTACCGCTTGAGGACAAAGAGAAATACAGTTCCTGTAAGCGTCTAGTTCTTATCTCATGATTCACTACAGAGCCCTCAACTGTGTCTGCTGCTGGGGGGAGTTTCTGCAGCACAACCTGGGCTTGCGGAGCAGGGATGTTACCGTACGGGTGCTGCATCTAGCAAGATGGACCCCGGTCTCAGCTGAGCACTAACATGGGAGATGCTCCAATGCAAAGAAAACCTCATTTAGGCAACACGAACCACTCGGCAGTCTAAATGGCTGCAAGTTTTCATAAACCAAAATCAACTCCAACTTATTCCCAAGCCCCCTGGAGCCCCTTGGTTTTGTTTTTATGCAGCACTGGGCACAATGAGCTCTTGGTTAATGATTGGGATTCTTAGGCATGACCACAACAAATCAACATTCACAAACTGCATCTTAATTACTTCCTAAAAATTACTTCCACAATCCTAGGTGTCAAATTCCTTTCCCCTGGGGTTAATCCAGAGCTCCTCCGAGCTGAGGGCATCTTCAGGAGGCAGGAGAGAGAAATGAAAGGCTCACTCAAAACAAGCGACTCGAACCACCATCTGGTTTTATACGCTTTACTACTTTTACTGAAAGGGATGCAGCAGGGACTGGCTGCAGTGCCCCAGTGCACATTTGAGGGATTAATTCTTCTTCTTTTTTTTCTTTTAGAAGGAACAGACTCATTGCTGCAGGGAAGGGAGAGAGTAGCTGAGGAAGGGAGTCAGCAGGGCATGAGCCAGGCAGGGAGAAGCCTGACAACTGTTGTCAGATAAAAAAGCTGACTCGGGGGAACATGCTTTGTTTCACTGAAAACCCACTGTCAAAGTGAGGTGATCCGTTTTTCAGATCTGAGCAACTGTAGCATAAAAAACCCCCCAAACTGACAGAAAACGGAATGACTGGTGTCTCCATTGTTCTAACAAGCAGAGGAAGGAGGAAAAAAAAAAGGACAATAAAGCAATTTTCCAGCTGAGACTCCAAGTGGCTCCACACTGCTGCTCCCGCTAGATGTCACTGCACACAACCCAAATTCGTCGCAGGGAGAGTCCAGGAGCCAGCTCGCAAGACAGCAAGAGGCTGCAGTGCCTCTTCAGCTTCCTTGACTCATCCTGCAGGCTCCTCACCGTTTCACTCGGTTGGTGGTAAAACAAAGACAGCCGCACCGTGATGGGTTTCTCAGCACAATGTCTAGCCATCTGGACCTGGCAACCTTAGCTATTCCCGCCCTAGGAGAAGTAACACATGCCTGCACCGGCACTGACAACGAAACAACAGGAGCAGGTTTTGGGCACTAGAGCCAGGCCCACCCTGGCAGCCAAAGAAGTCAGCACTTGTTAGGAGAACACGAAATAGCTGTGTGATGAGAAAGCTGCTGGGTTCAGACAGCAGGAGTGGACAGATGTCCACCAGAGAGCAGAACAATCCTCTCCTTTGCAGAGGGCACGTTGTGCGTTTGCCTGATCTGTGTCCAAGATGTCACTCTAAGGGTGAAGTTAACTGCCCCAGTACTGCTACTGTGCCCTTTGAAAGGAAGACACACGGCAGGCGCAATAATTCAAGGAGCCCCGTCTTACCAACGGACCACACTTCAAACAAAGCTCTCATTAGTGACACTATCAATAGACTGCTTAGAAAATCCTGCCCCTCTAGAAGCGCACACACGCATGCACACTCTCTCTCTCTCTCCATGACACTGTCCTGATTGACTATCCATGCCCTAATTCTGTGGACTTCCTTTAGCAGGGCTTAATATTTTCCCCATACAGAATCCCTTCCATATATATTTGATTCCTGTGTTTGCTCTATGGAAAAGTGCCTGCTTCTAACCATTTCACAGGCTTAATGAATGCAGCAAAAAAGTAATGCTGGCTAGTAATTTAGGCCTACAATTTAGGGACTGGGTTAAAAAAAGCAAAAGATTCATCAAACCTGTTGTTTAAACAACTCCTTTTAAGTTTGTGCTCGGTTATTAACATTCTGATAGCGGAGAAGAAATGCAGTGGACTGACGAGCCAGTTATTGTTTGTAGCAGACCTGACATAAAGGGCCTCCCTCAAGTTGAGCCTTGTTCAATACAACCACAGTATCCAAGTTAAAAATCCTAAGTCTGCTTTCATTGCCCAAGCTTAATGATGGAAATAAATAGAGCTGTTGCAAGGCAAATTAGATTTGAACATGCTTTCAAGTTTTAATAATTGATGATATTATTGGTAACGTAAGTAAAAAAAAAAAAACAAACAACACGCTGATACACTAGCTTTACCTGGAGAGTCTCTTTTAAAAACACAAGCAAATCTTGATTTTATAAATGTCTCGGGAGAGGAAGGGGGCATGCAAAACTTTCCTGAAATTCACAGATTTGTAAAAACTGAAGGGAAATGCCATTTCTTAAAAAAGCACAAGGAAAAGGGAACTGCCATGAAATCCATAATATTGGTGCTTGTCTCTAAATCCTTTTGGTCTAAAAATTACTTCCCACGTGACTGGCACTTTGCAAGTTTTGGGAGATTATCAAGTATTTTGCATCTGAAGTGATTCAACCATGTGCAGCGTCACATCAGGGGAAGCCACACCGAGATGCTGGCACCCAGTTCTTTTTAAAATACTATGGAAAAGGAAACCTCGAGCCTAAGAACATATCCCAGAAGAATAAGCCATGTCGCCTACGCTGGTTCTTTCACATCCTTCATGTGACGGTGTAAAAGGATTCCCAGAATACCACGACAGGACATGCATTCAGGGATCAGTGCTTGGGCTGGCACTTAAGCTTCGCCAATACTTGGAGGTTTCCAAACGAAGGAGCATCAATTATAACCGTCAGACCAACACATCCCTCAATTCACTCATGTGACTCGTTGCAGCACCAGCTCATTCTTAAAATATGGCTGTCGAGCCCAGGTTTTCAAAAAGTATCAGTCAGGTCCCACAAGATCACAAGACTGGATAAAAAAACCCATAAGATCTGACAACACTGATAACATTTTCTGTTAAATTTTATTTCCTTTTTAAAATTATTTTTGTGTCTGTAGGATTCATGTTTTTCAGCTTTTCTTTCCTACAATCACAAGGCATTAGCTGGCATAAATTATCACAGCTGAACCTGGACATCTACCTCTTATTTAATTTTTTTAAAAAGCAGTGATTTTCACTGACTTGCATGATGCCAGCAGCCGGAGTCTTAGGAAACTCGCTAAATACGATGAGAGTTGGCAACACTGGCCAACTTAGTTAAAACCTCAGAAGTTAGTGCCAAATTTCAACTAATCCATTGAAGCGGCGCAAGAAAACTGACTTCACAGAAGACAGCAGCGATTGACAAGCCCGTGGCATTCAGAGTAAGTGATCACTGGCCTAAGAGGATAAATATCACTTTCCAAAAGCCAGGTCCCTGGGAATATTGATGGGTTTTGTCTCTTGTTTTTGCTGCTCACTTGGGCAATGGGTTTTAAAGCTAAGATAGGAAACAACATTGTTCAAAGCTAGGGAGGGACTGCACCTCACCAAATGCTGCTCGGGGTTTTTTGTCTACCAACGGGGAAAACTGCCCTGGTTACAGCTCACCGTGGCCAGCCACCGACAGAGCTGCACTGGGGCAAATGCCTACATTAGACCGACAAAACTGCTGTAAGCTAGGATTTGCACAGTGCATTGTAACGCTGCATAAAACTGGAGTAAATTGCACTAGTGCAAATCACAGTTCACAGCAAATTTGCTTGCAGACTGCAGCCAGGGGCTGGATCAGCAGAACAGGCAAAACCTCAGAGGCTTATATGGAGCATTAGGTAACTAAGAGTGTAATCTGACTACTTCACCTTACTATTACAAGCTCTAGAAGAACTCCCTCTGTCCTTGAAAGGCAGGGATTTTACTTTGGTGCATTTGCCTGATTTGGGAAAGTTCACTGTTCTTATGGATCTGCCTGTAGGTATCATATACAATCATGAACACAAGTGAGATCCAGTCAGGCTCCTACTGCACCCAAACTTGATGTTGGACTTCATAAACCACTTAGGTCAAAGAGGTCTAGCTTGAGCGACCAGCTTCAGGACTTTAAACGGGGCCAATTTCTGCCTGATGTTCCAGATTTAAAAGAGGAACAACAAATGCTGATGGTTGGCTTGTTATTACTTTGGGGAACAGGACTGGCTTCCTCCCTCTCCCAGCCTTCAGTTCTGCGTTCTCCGTGCCTTGTGGGAGAGCTTAACATTAAAACTGTGCTTCTTACAAAGTTTGGTTTTACAAAAAAGTTTCTAGGATTACTTGAATACGATAACATTTATTTGGCAAATGTAAACAAGGGGCTGTAAGAGCTAAATCTCTTTAAACTCTGTGCCACCAAGTCTAGAACGATCAAGAGATTAAATAAAGCCGACTCAGCAGCAGCAGCATCAAGTCAAAGTTTGATCGCTGAAGAGGATCACTTCCTCATTTTATAGCAGTTGTTTGGTTTCTTTCCACATCTGCATTAGTGTCAAAGCTCAACCACGCATCACCTGAAGATGTGGGCTGAGGCAACTCATTGCTAGACCAAGAGGGCAAGTTTCCCCACCCACAGCAGCAGGTGTTCAGATTTAAGAGAGAGCAGGACATTTCTTACCTCTTGTTTTGCTCTGCTATTTGTTCTAAGTCATTTCTATATAGAGTGAAGCTTTTTTTTTCACATTACAAAGGACACAAATGCATTTCTACACCTACAGTAACTCAGACTGCAATGAAGAAAATATTAACATTCATTAAACAACTATGCAGTGTCCGGTAGGAAAAGGTGCCTTCTAATGCACTCACTCACTCTCCAGATCTGCTTTAAAAGGAACATTTAACTACTCTTTTAGAAAAATCTAGCCTTTCTTCTTCTTGCTTTCCATTTTTGCATTACTCTTTCAGAAGCTTGAAAACAACATTCACTTCC